AACACTTGAGGGGCCATGTTGGGTGTGCGAGTCCGCCAGATGGGCAAGGCAGCCGAGGCGGCGGTGTCACCCACCTCGTCTGCTTTCAGTAGCATGGACGCCACAGCCTCTCTGCGCCCAATTCCCTCTCAAATTTGCGATGTATCCAATCTCTCTCTCTCCAATTCCTCACGACCATAGTAGCCTTGGGTCCTGAGCTCACTGCTGGGCATGGTCCCGTCATGGATCCTCTATTAAGCTTACTCGAGTCATTCTCGTCGCCGGCGGCTGCCATTGGCGCCGAGCTCAAGCTCCGCCGCAACCAACCCCATCTCGCCCATAGCTCCGCCTGCTTTCGAGACAACAAGAGCCTTCTACAGAACAGTGGTGAGCCCTAGTCCGTCCTCCCCCCTCGCTTAGCCCGATGTAGCCGTCGCCTCGTCAACGCAGCGCGACGCCATTCGCCACGCCGCCAGAGACTGCACTGCACGGGCCGGCCCACACCGAGCCAGCCAGGCTGCTACCGTCAGCGCCCTAGGGCCGTGCGACCCCCTCTACAGCCATCACGCATGGTCCGACCACCTCGTCCGCCGCTGGTGCGGACCTACCCCGCCCGCAGCGGGGCCGAGCTCGCCTGTCCGGATGCTGGTGGAGCTAGAGGAAGGAGAGGAAGGGGTTGAGTGGTTGACGCATGGGCCCCACATGTCACTGAGATGGAGGCAGACGTCCTACGTGGCTGTCAACGCCAGCGTGGCGTGGTCAAACCCGCTCCACGTTGGACAAAACAGCCCCGCTGGTGCCTAGGTGCTAAAAGTGAACGGTTTTGACAGTTGAGGTACTAACATTAAACGGTTTTGTAGTTGAGGGTCAAAATTAGACGAACCCAATAGTTGAGGGGCTAAAAGTGGACTTAATCCTTATGGAAAAGGAGAGGACACAGGGACTGAGACCAGAAGGGACAGTATGTCCATACAAGTTCTTAGATTCAATTGCCAATCGAACTTGAGTCTTCAGGCCAGCATAAGAAAAATTGCAATCTTTGTGTTGCCGCATTGGAACCTGAAAGTATATAAAAAATTATAAACAATAACATCATGCAGCATAATCATAAGAAAAATAAATGGATAACAACATATAGATACATCTTAATTTTGAAAAAAAAATATCAGCAGACTTACTTTGAACTTAACAGCATTTGGATCACCTTCTAGAGCAAGCTCTTCAAGAGCAGGGCCACCACCTTTCCGTATATCAAGGCCCAACCATCTTGCTGATTTGTCATATGCCTCACCAATCGCATCATCTATAGTAGTCCCCAGTTGAATGTATTGCCCAAGGCCACGAGCAAGAACAAGAAGATTGTGTCCTCCTGAACATATTAACTTGTTAAGACACCTTAAAGCCAAAAGAATATTTCTTCTGGCCGGATTATTACACAACTTTGCTGTCAAATTAGCAAATATGTTTAAGGAACTTAGGCTGAGGTAGTTCTCCATTGACTTACATGCATTTGTCAACTGGAACTACATTTATTTTGTAAACAACTGAAATCATCTGCCACACATTTCATTTTAAATAATTTCAACAGGATATAGAGCAAAATGTGGTAATCACTTTAATAGCTTATGCATTGGAATAAGAAGGAAACATTTAAGCGGAGGACAACTAGACAGAGTGCAAATAAAGCAGCTAAGTGTGACAAGTTAAAAGGCAATAAAAATCAACATACTCTATGATCATGGAACAATGTCAGAATGATCATCCAAGTAGAAAGGCACAGAAGAGTTATAAAATGTGATAATTATTTTGCGTTGTAACAGATGTGGAAAATGCAATTATGTTTCTGGTGTGTTGAATACTGTGTGCCATGGGCTTCTATCATTGGAAACCACAGCTTACGACAATTCTCATAGGCAAGTTAGACTAAGTTTGGCACATCTTAGTTTAGTAAATATGTATTCTAGATGCTCTAAATGTTTGTTTTTTCAGGTGGGTCCAGGCTCAATACCCTCGAGGGCTGATCCCAATTTCAAAGTTGATGAGAATCATATTAAGACATATTCATCCATAGAAAAGTTAAGCAAATAGTATTGTATCCTATAATACTGAGACATAATAATGTAGTTAGCACATACCTGAAATTAGAAGAGCCAGAAATGGGAAATCAAGGTCCTTATTCACTAGCCTGACAAGGATCAAACAACATCAACTGCGAGTACAGTGCATGCATAAAGTTAGAAATATAGTGAAGCACTTATGCAATCTTTTGTTTAAGTTCATATAACATTGTCCTTAGGTTTAACAAGTTTGGCATGCTCTAACTAATGTTTTTTCTCGAACATGCAGGAGAGCTACGTGCCATTATATTAAGAAGAAAAAAGGGGAAGAACCCTTACAAAACACATACTCACACCAAAGACTTAAACGATATACACGCCTTTTCTAGAACAATGCACAACCTTGACCCCAGTCTAACAAAACTATGACACAAAGACTGAGAGGTGCGAAACAACTCGAGCCCTGACCAAAACCCAGAGGTACACTCCTCACTCGTGAGTAAAAGAGCTCTAGCCAAGTTTGGAGTCACACCATCAAACACGCACTTGTTGCGATGGTTCCACAGAGACCAAGCTCCAAGGATAACAAGGGAATTAAGGCCCTTTCGAATTTGATCATTAGAGCTAGCAGTAATTCTCTCCCACCAGTCCTCAAAACATAGCTTTGAGTTTCATTTCTTTTGTTCAATATAAGACAGCCATTAGTTATTAGGTGATTGATGTGGTATCGAGAATCAGATACTTATAGGACCAATTTCTCTCCTACATTAAACAAAAGTTAATGTTTTTACTTTTCACAATGGGCTGAAAATTGGTTGAAGACTGAAACTTAAAACTTAAAAGTTCGTTTGTTCGCAGGATATGTTACTACACCAGCTTAGTTTAATATCCACATAAACTTGTAGATACTATAGAAGGATGCCAAGAAGTAGTAATGTCTAAACTAAAGTCTAAACAGATGTGCAAATTCTGATGTAAAAATTGATAAAAAAAGTAATAACAACAAAAACACCAAATTTGCAACAAGTGACTTTGAACAAACCAATCCTTTTTTCTTGAAAATAAAAATTACTAGATCTTATTCTATTTGATGATGAATTAACAAAAATAACTTGTGCAGCGTATACCAAAAAAAGACTTCAAAGTCCATACAATTTAAGATCACGGTTGATTGAACAGCAAAGGGTCCTGAGTTAAATACCTGGAAACTAATGCGTGCGCTTCCATATGATGAACTCCAACAATAGGCAAGCCAAATGCTTTCGCTACCTGTCTAGCTTTGTGAACACCAACTGCAGTTCAGACAGGCAAATGCACAACATTAGGGGAAAAAGAGATATGGTAATAATGGAAATACAAAATAGTAACAAAAAAAAATTAAAATTATGATCCCTGATACATGATAGCACTTATCCCAAAGTTTGCCAAAGCACTAGTCATATAAAATGAGGGATATAATTTATATAAAAAGCAAGTCAACAGCAATATTCTCCAGGACAGCAGAACCAAAGCAGTCTTGTTTCTTAATTTGGCAATGGGTTTCTAGTCTGATTGAATTCAACTCATCTGAGCCATATACATACTAGTATCAAGTTGGTAAAAGGCTCATGTGCAAACTAACAAAGGCAAGTCATGAACAGAACAGACAATTCATCATCTCAATGAATGAAGGGGAGGTAAAAAAAACACACCTCTAAGGCATAGACTAAGTCCTGGTCCAATGGTCACAGCGACTGCAGAAAGATCACTTTCTGACAATTTTGCATCGTCAAGGGCCTTTTGAACAACCTGGGCAGCAAATGAGAACATGCAATTAGCATAGACGTCAGCACCGCAAAAGGCTGCAGAACCTTTGTTGATCTAAGAAGCCACACCTGGTCAATCACAAGGGCATGTGCTTCCTCGGCCATCTTAGGAGCAACACCACCATACCTCGCAAGCAAATCCGCCTTGCAAATGTTGGACAACGAAAAGCCACAGAAAAGCATAACCGGTCAGCAATGAACAAAGGTATCCCAAATATATGCTACCAACTGCCATGTTGCATAACAAATGATAAGAAGCCATCTCAAATTTACAGCCGGAATAAGAGGTCAGAATGAACTGCAGAAATAAAATTGTGCGGGAAATGGCTTACTTGGGAAGATACCACTTGGCTAAGGATCTCGCCGTCACCTCTCACCTGCAACCAATCAGAGCCAGACAGCAGAGAGAAGCAGCTCAGCACAAAAACTTGACGCCTCCGCCGCAGGTAAATTCGACAGGAGAATCGATGAAGAAAGCACTAGTACCACAGCAGCCGCAGTGTCGTCGCAGCTGGTCTCGATGCCTAGCATGAGGAGGTCGCGGCGGGCCGGAACGGCTCGAGCGGCGGTGGTGGACGGCATGGTGGAGAGGGGGCATAGGGCGATGGAAGGGGTTGCTGGATAGGAGGAGGAGAGTAAGCGGCGGAGAGTGGGGGGTGGGTGCAGATAATGGGAGGGCTTCAGTGGGGCTCGTCGGAGGAGGAAAGCGGCGGCGGAGCGCGAGACGGGCGGCGATAAGGTCGGGAGAAGAGTGGCCGCCATTCTCTCCGGGCTCCGGCTCCCCCTTCGCTCTGCCCGGTGGCCAACTCCACCAAAGGCCCAGGGGATTTGAATGAACCGGTCGCCAACGCGGCCACAAAGCCCCATAAACTGACTGTGCCGCAAGCTAGAACGGCCTGTAAGATTACCCAGCAAGCAATACGTTCAAAACGGCATATGAACCTTCTTCATACTACAAGGCAATCATATGAAACAAATCACAAAGCTACACGCATTTATTCATCAATTTTCTCCTCTACACAGCATGTCACCTCACACTCACAGTACATCATACATACACCAATGTGCAGGAAAATAACCAAGCTGACCATGAAAGAGCCAAACTCCATCGCTGAATCTCAAACCCACAGCTACATAACCTTGCTCTTTCTTAAGTGCATCAATGCAAATGGGTTCGAGTATCCATGAGGTCAGCACGAAGGTAATCAACATCATCGGTTATCGGCGCTGCAGAGAGCTTCTTGATTGCAGACTGCATTGTCGGACGGTTCGCTGGATTGGGATCCAAGCACTGGAGAGCCACCTTGAGGAGCACAAAGATTTCGCTTGCAGCCTCAGCTTCAGGGAGCGGGAGCCGGGTGTCCAACAGATCCTCCAGCGATGTGTTTTTCTTGTCTGTGCAGAAGAGATCGGAAAGAATATCACCAGGATGGGATCCCATGAACAGCTCAAGAACAACCACGGCAAAGCTGTAGACGTCGAATTTAGTGGTCACCCTCGTCATGTATGCAAGTTCTGCACTATCAAAGAATTCAGTCAAGATGTAGTAAACGTCCATACAACTGTGTTTCTCACTGAATACTATCATTACTGATAAAATATGTTTCGACAGGTAACCATTGGTTCAATATATAGAAGCTAATCTACTTTGTAAAAGAACTTTAAAAAAAAAAACAAGACTAGCCCATCTTTCAGGATTGCAAATTTCTACTTAGTCAAACAACACTTTAGATAAATCACGAGCGAGATAATGAGGCAACATGATACAGAAAGAATAATAAGTTGAACACTGAACATAATTTGTTTACCAGGTGCAAGATACCCAGTTGTCCCAGCAAGCCTGTTTGTACAGCTTGATGCATCATAGCTCAATATTTTAGCTAAGCCAAAGTCTGATACACAGGCCCTGAAATCCATAGCAATCAAAATGTTATTGCCTGTTATATCTCGGTGGACTATTGGAGTTGAACAATCATAGTGCAAGTAAGAGAGAGCATGAGCCAAATCCTTAGCGATATCTAGCCTCTTGCTCCAATCCAGCTCAACAGCACTTCCGTTGGACATGAGAATAGTTGACAAGCTTCCTCTCTCCATATATTCATATACAAGAAACTTATCTTGATCAGTGGAGCAATATCCATAAAGCTTCACAATGTTCCGGTGCCGTATCTGCACCAAGGCCTCTATTTCATGACTGAATATTTCATCTTTCAAACTTTCATCTTCTGTTATCCGTATCTTCTTTACTGCAAAATTTCGCCTGTTGGTAGTGCAGCTTCATAGACAGACCCATGGCCCCCTCTTGCAATGCAATATTTTTCATCAAAGTTCTCCGTTGCTTCCACAATCTGCCTGTAGACATCTCCACCATCAAAGTTCCAGATAGAGAATAAATCCCCCTGTAATCTTAAAGCTTCATTTGAATTATTATGTGCCGTGGAATTCTTCCTTTGACATAGGCATATCAACAGTGTTGCGACACAAACTGCAGGGATGTGCAGCAAGTTAGGAAGTTGTAACCCAAGACCATTAGGAGCAACCTTTTACAGAAGAAAAAAGGATAACAAACATACCAAACAGCAAGACAGAAAACACTGCCATGACGCCACCAGCAAGAACCGCCTGCCTCTTGTGGGATTTGGACTGTTGGGTATCGACAACACTCTTCTTGCACAGTGGGAGTGGGAACCCACACAAACCAGAGTTGTTCTCAAACTGACTTGCAGGGAACGTGGCAAGCGACCCAAGTTGTGGAACCATCCCACTCAATCTGTTGTTCGATAAATTAATCTCTGACAATGATAGTGATTCCAATGAGCTGGGTATTTGCCCCTCCAGCATGTTGTGTGAAAGGTCAAGTACTGCGAGAGACTTGGAGCCAGCAAGTGCAGCGGGGATCACACCTGATAGACTATTGTATCCAAGATTCATGATCATGAGGTAATACATGTTCCCAAGCTCCTTTGGGATATCTGAGTCAAGCTGATTAAATGACAAATCCAGAAATATCATTGAAAAGTTGTTGATCGTGTCAAAACTGCCAAAGTACACTGTTGTGAAGTTGCAGGCCATCTTGCTTGGCATTCGACTCAAATCGCTATGCCGAATGCCTGTGAGGTCAACCAAACTTCCTTTGTCATGGCATTGATAGTTATGCAGTTCATCATTGCGAAGGTACCCAAGCTGACGTGTAGAAGTGAGGGGTTCCATCATCCCAGACTGCTTTGCAAGTTCAGATGGTATATGCCCTTTTAGTTGGTTACCACTCAGGTCAAGCCATAACAGACTCCTGCAGTCACCCAGCTCCGGTGGTATCGGACCAGTGAAGGAGTTATTTCCTAGGCCCAAGATTTGGAGCTTAACAAGTTGGCCGAGTGATGTAGGTAGTGGACCAGAAAGCCGGTTGCTGGCAAGTGACATCCACCTCAACTCTGTGCAGTTTGCCAAACCTGGAGGGATGCTGCCAGCAAGAGCATTGTAATCAAGAAGAAGATTCTTGAGTGCAAGCATTCTGGACAGAGAGGCAGGTATCTCACCCTCTAGGGCGTTCTGCCACAAGATCAGGTCAAAGAGGCCGGTGAGCATGCCATGGGATGAGGGAATGTGCCCATTGATATAGTTAAGGCTGAGGTCAAGCGAAACGAGACCATTGCAGTTGGAGATGGCCTCCGGGATGCCCCCAGTGAGATGGTTGTTCTTCAGGTAAAGAAGTTGCAACTTCCTGGTGGTATTTGAGGAGCAGAGAGTGGCTGGAATGGTGCCGGAGAGCAAGTTGGAGCTGAGGTCGAGTATCTCAAGCTCCGGAAGGATGGTGACCGCTTCTGGAATGGAGCCATTGAAATAGTTTAAGGAGAGGGAAAGTGTTCTGAGCTTAGCTAGATTGATGAAAGCTTGCCCTGGAATCTCGCCAGAGAAATTGTTACTTGATAGGTTGAGTCCAGTAAGGGACATGAGGTGTGCGATATCTGTTGGAAACGAACCAACAAGATGGTTGCCTGAAAGGTTTAGCGAGCTCAGGCTGCTGCAACTGGACAAGACTCCTGATGCCACGCTGCCAGATATGAGGTTACCAGAGAGATCAAGGTACTCCAATCGGGAGCAATTGATGAACGCTGGAACTTCCCCAGAGATATAATTCCCAGAGAGGTCCAGCAAAGACTGTTAGGTTGATCTCCACTAAATTGGTTCAATGGCTAATTGGGCCTCTGATCCATGTCCTGATCGGGGACGCTAAGCCGTACTTCTGGCTGATGGGCCCCCACCGCGCAGCACTATAAATAGGAGGTGGGGGCTGGGGCTCGATACACTAGGTTGACCACAGCCGCCAGCGCCCCACCGACGATCTAACCCTAGACCAATCCCGAGGGTGTGCTGTGAGCAACGGGAAGCACCATCGCAGTTGCCGCCGCCACTGACCACGCCTCCACGTCGCTGCTTCCTTTACTCCGAGCATCGCTGCGGCACCATGGCCACTACATTGGTCCGGCGAGGTACATCACCAAAGTCTTCTATCTAAGCCAAAAATTTACCCACAAGATCAACATCTAGAGGTTCTATCAGCGCTATCTATGGTATCAGAGCCGTGTTTCTAGTATGTAGATCTAGACTAGGGTAAAAAAGTGAAAAGAAATCAAGAAGGAGATGAATCGGATTGAACCCCAACCCTAATCCTAACCCTAACCCTAGATGGATGGACGGAGAAAGGGGAGGACCTACCCGGTTCCTCGCCGCCGTTGCTACCGCCGCACGCGGGAAGAAGCAGTCGAGCTGTGCTCGTCGCCGTGCGCGCGAGCCCTGGCCGAGGGCACCGTCACAGGACCGCTCGACGGCGGTGCGCTCACCCACTGGGGAGCGCGTGCTCCGGCAAGGGGACCCGTGGCGGCGCCGCCCTTCTTCTCCCGTGTCTGCTGCTTTGAGGGCTGACAAAGGAGAAAGGGATCTAGGGTTTAGGGAAGAGCGCGTGTGGGGGTGCAAAGAGCACCACCGCGGTGCCGCTCGACGGCGCCGTGAGCGGCTCTGGCCGCACGCGTGCACCGGCGAAGGGCGCCACGGCGACGCCATCACTCCTCTCCGGCCACCGTGTTTCGGGTGAGAAGGGGAAGAGCAAGCCGACGGCTGCGGCGAAGAGAGAGAAGGCGAGAGATGAAATGAGGTTAGGGTTTCGGGAGTGCGGCCGCGGACGCCGTTTTTATTCCGAGCGAAACCCGCAGACGATCGTCGATCTCCATCGAACGGTCGGTAGAACTTGGACCGGATTCGGCCCGGGTGGGTGTGGAGAATCCTGGCCCAGACCCAGGTTGCGGCCTGGGCACGGGGACAGCGCGGAGCGCATGGCTGAATGGTCCGCGGACTGTTTCATCAGGCCGGGCCGTATGAACAGTAAAGACTGAGTTTTGGTTTTATTATTTTCAGAAGCAAATTTTGATGATTTTTGTCAAATTTAAATCTCTGTCAAAATTTGAACCAATGGGATAATTTTTTCAGAGTAAATAAGTACAGTAAAATACTTTTGAAAAGTAGATAAAGAATTTTCTCATATTTCCGCTGCAAAGTTTAATGTTGATTATCTTCCAATTAAATTCGAACCAATGGGAGAATTTAATTTGAAGAGCAGTTACATTTAATAAATTATGATTATATTTGTCCTCTAATTAAATTGGAACCAACGGAAAAATTTAATTATAGGAGTAGTCTGATTTGTTTATGTTAGATTATGTTATTGTTATTTTCTGACCAACGTTGATGATAACAATATTATAATGAATTTAAGTTTGAAGTTTAAATCTCTGATAAATTTTACACCAACGTGGTCAATTTTTCAGAGAGTAGATAAGGACCCAGAAATACTCCTGAACTAAAAGAATGTATTTTATTATCAAGTTTCTTGTGCAATGATGTTGATTATCTTCTAATTAAATTCGAACCAATGGAAGAATTTAATTTTGAAGAGTAGTTATATGTCTTTCAAGTTAATTTATGAGTTTTATGCATTAATTCTTTTTTCTGTCCAACGATGATGTAGAATTGATGCAGAAGCATCTTGTAAGTTTTATTTTTTAACCAACGAGATCACTCGGCTGCATGCCAATGGGCTGCAATGTTGGGGTATGCGAATGAAAAGGCTTGAGTCAAGCCAATCTAGGACAGTTGTTTGTTAGTTTACTAATTTTCTGATTAAATTGGAACCAACGGAATTATTTAATTGAAAAATAAAGTATAAGTGAATGTTTTAGTCATCATGACTAAATTTTTCGTTATGGTAATTTGTATATAGATTTATCCCGCATGGAGAGAAGTTTGGTATAGTACTTATGCTAGTCAATCCTACATGGCGGGAGAAGTTTTGTGATGACTCATGTTTTTTATCCCGCATAGTGAGAGAAGTTTGGATAGCTCTTATGCTATCGTAGTATTGACCATAGCACAATAGAAATACACCGTCATGGTCAATACTAATCAAAGGATAAAAAAAAGATGCAAGCGTGGCTTGCAAAAATACAGTTAATAAAAGATCTCTTCGAGTTCTTGAAGTGAAATGAGAAAAATGTACTCCTATACAGATCAAGAAATAACTTTATTTGCATGGCATAATCATGTGAATGAAGTAAGTCATAAGTGTCTCCTCGTTCATAGTTTTCTGAATAGTTCTCGAAATTATGAGAGTATAGTTCATGCTATATTTTGAGGGGGAGAATTGTGAGATGAATTAAGAGTAAGAATTAAGATCAATTAAGAAACTACTCTTCATTAAGAGTAAGATAAAGATGTTGATGAATGTGTACTATTCATTAAGAGTGATACAGATTTTGTAAAAAACTGAGTGAGATGAAGTTTTTGATGAATATGACCGTCGGTCATAACAATGATACCCTTAAATAGAGAAAAAGCTAAATTCCTAGATTTTTTAAAGTTTCGAGAGGAAGATAGCGTAGTCACCATTAAAAATATTAAGGTGGTGCTTAAAGCGCCATATAAGGTTTTAATAGTTTAAACCAAAATAAGAAATTTAAAGATACACTATCTTTATAAAAGATGGGATGATCTGGGGGAGCACGGTATGTAGAGACCTATGACTTGAAGAGAAGCGGGACTGAGTGCCCACTTCAGTGATTCAAAACAACAAATTTCTCAATACCTGTTGATGTTGTATGACTTATACAACATCTGTTGTTGGCTCTTCGAAGAAGATGAATAATGTAAACAAGAATCTTGTAATACAGGAGCCTGTAGAATCACTTGCATCTTGGCAATGAAGAGCAACAACAGCCTACATAAAAGTGCTAGTAGCTGAGGCCCCAAAAGGTCTTAAAGAACTAGTAAACCAGTTTTCTTATGACTATTAAGTCTATATTAGTGAAGAAATTCAAATGGAGGGTGATCCCATCTCATTTAAAGAAGCTATGAGAAGCGTTTACTCGTCTAAATGACAAGAAGCTATAGAAGTTGAAATGAATTCGATGAATACCAACGATGTTTGAGACTTAAAAGAAATTCCTAATGAAGCCAAAACAGTAGGCTGTGAATGGATCTACAAGACAAAATGTGACTCCAAAGGGAATGTGCAAAGATATAAAGCATGAATTGTAGCAAAAGACTTTACGTAAAGAGAATAAATAGATTACGATGAGAGTTTTCTCTCTAGTCTCATGCAAGGATTCTTTAGAATCATAATAGTGTTGTTGGCACATTACGATTTAGAGTTAAATCAGATGAATTTAAAGACAGACATTTCTCAATAGGGATTTATATGAAAACGTTTACATGGCACAACCCAAAAGTTTTGTCGTGGAAGCAAAAGAACGTATGGGATGCCGCCTGTAGAAATCCATTTATGCGTTAAAACAAGTCTCTAGACAGTAGTATTTGAAGTTGATAAAACGATAAGAAAGTTTGAGTTTAGAGAAAATGAGAAGGACAATAACATTTATGCGAAGTTCTAGAATGAAAAATTCTTTTTCCACATCCTGTGTATAGATGACATTCTACTCACCAGTAGTAATGTTAATTTGCCATTGGAGAAGAAGAAGTCTTTGTCCTCAAGTTTCAATGTGAATAATCTTAGTGAAGCTTCATTGGTTCTAGGAATTGAAATTCACCGAGATAGATAAAAATAGGTATTAGGACTATCACAAAGGCATACTTAGAAAAGATTCTAAAGAAATAAAGTATACATGCGAGTAAACTTACGCCTGCTCCTATAGTCAAGGGTAATAGATTTGGGAACTTTCAGTGTTCCAGGAACCGATATGAGATCGATCAAATAAACATGGTTCCATATGCTTCAGCTGTTGGAAGCTTAATGAATGTACAAGTAAGGACTTGCCTTGACGTAGCTTACGTATCCGGGATATTTTGGTAGAAGTCTAGTCCAGATATAGATCACTGGAATAGGGTTAAGAATGTCTTGTAATTTTTGTAAAGTATCATAGGTCTCATGCTGAGTAAGAAAGAACAAGTACTCTCAAATAGTTGTGGGTACAAATGTTAAGTTTTGGCGAGATGTGTAGTGAAATCCACAGTAGTTGCTAACACTCGCAGTTGAAATATTATTGTAGAAAAGCTCCAATGAAACAGTTATGTTGTCATCAATGATGCATATTATAGTATAGCTTGTCATGAGGCCTCATGAATAGGCAAAAGTGGTAAAGGGAATATGTATCCGGATTTAACAATGGTAGTCAACAGCCATAACCATTTAAAGTAGTTAATTCTAAGACAGCAGGTCAAGTGTGCTGACAAACACATTGACATTAAGTTATATGTTGTAAAGGAGAAAATCCAGAATCATTTTAAAAGCATTGAGCATATTAGTACCAAGCAAGTATTTGTGGATCCGCTTACCAAAGGCTAACCACCCAGTGCGTTCAGAGAACACACAGTCGACATGGGTTTATGGGAAAGCCTATGATTTTTTAATACTAAGAACCTAGTTGAGAATCTGTTTCAAAACAGAGAGGTGCATTGTAGCTGTTAAATCTAATAGCAACTGACCGTGACGATGAGACACGCTCTATGCACTGATCTGTGATGGAATGGGAAAAAGATAAAGTAAGTTGAGTTTAAGTTATACGGTGAGATCAAGGGGGAGAATGTTAGGTTGATCTCCATCAATTTGGCCCAACGGCCAATTAGGCCCTTGATCTGCGCCCTGATCGAGGGCGCTCAGCCGTACTTCTGGCTGATGGGCCCCCGTCGCGTAGCACTATAAATAGGAGGTGAGGGATGGGGCTCGATACACGAGGTTAACCGCAGCCGCCGGTGCCCCACCGACGACCTAACCCTAGACCGATCCCGAGGGTGTGCTGTGAGCGACGGGAAGCGCCATCGCAGTCGCCGCCGCCACTGACCGCGCCTCCATGTTGCTGCTTCCTCTACTCCGAGCATCGTTGCGGCACCATGGCCACGACATCGGTCCGACGAGATACATCACCGAAGTCTTCTATCTAAACCAAGAATTTACCCACTAGATCAACATCTAGAGGTTCTATCAGCGCTATCAAAGACAACTTCTCCCCGCACTCCACCACCCTCAGCACGCCAAAAATGTTGGCATCACGGATTGTTATCGACTCCACGCTCCTCAGCTGCAGCAGGGTACTTGCCACAGCACTAAAATTGGTGTTGAGCATGACACCAGCGAGGGACACTGACGTGACCCTGTCGTTCTTGCACTGGACACCGGGGAAGCTACAAGCACCGCGGCTGCTGTTCCAGCCAGTGAGTGCCGTGACGTTTGGCACGGCCGCCTTGAACTGCTCCAGCAGCTTCAAGTCGTCCAGGTCCAGCACCGCCCCCGTGGCAGCCACTGCGAAGAAGAGCATTGCCATCAGAATCAGAGACCGTGAAACCATGATGAGGCAATGGGACTACTACACGACGCAGGACTGACTGCGCTGGGAGACAGCGTGGGAGGGTGAGTCCGCACTCCACACGCAGTTGGAACTGGGAGGTGGGGATGAGAGAGGCTGGCATACCGTGAATGTCATCTTCGATCTTCAGTGCCCTGCGAAAGCACGCCAGATATGACCCGATCCCAATTATCTGCACGGGACGACATGACTTGGAAGCCGAAAGGGACCCTGCGTCCCTGCGTGTCTCACTCCTCACCGAGGCCTCGTTTAGATTGCTTTAAAATTTCAAAGTTTTTTCACTATCTCTCCATCACATCAATTTTTGAACGCATGCATGGAGCATTAAATGTAGGTAAAAAAAATAACTAATTATACAGTTTGGTTGTAAATCACGAGACGAATCTTTTAAGCCTAGTTAGTCCATGATCAGATAAAGTTTGTCAAATACAAATAAAACGTGCTACAATGTCCAGGTTACAAAAATTTACAATCTAAACAAGGTCCAAGTAAGTAAGTGACCAGGGATTTTTTTCCCTGCAAGTACTCTCTCTTTGAGAGGTCCCTGCAAGTACTCTCTCTCTCTCTCTTGGACTCTGACAGTCTAACGTTGGGCCTTGATTGCAGGGACAAGTATCGTTGAATAAGACCGGGGATTTTTCTATGGGTATTGGAAGTTGGAACGGGTCCAAACAGATTAAAGTGGTGAGTTGTCAGAGACTAAGAATTAAGTTAAGTCGATCCAAAAAGGAAAGGAGGGTCATAGCCGAGGGCAAAGATGTTATTAGAATACAGTTATCTTGTAATGTATTAGTTGTGTAATTGTGTTCGAAAGGGTACCAATAAAGATTTTTGGAATGTCTTAGACTCTTAGTTGTGTACTTGCGTTCGAAAGGATACCAATAAGGAATCGACGGGGCTTTCTAGATATAGTACTCAAAAGAATTGCCACGAGACACCCAGACAATTAGAATGAATTGGTGGGCTGTCTTTCATGTCATTGATCACCTAGGTCGCCTAGTTGCACACACAAAAAAAAAAAAGATCACCTAGGTCGCCTCTAAACTTGAGTTCTTGATCCTTCCTTTTTTTTAGTTGGGCACAATGAAAGCTTTTCTTTCAATCTATAACCTCGGTGGATTATTATAGTTTGGTACCAGTACCACTACTAGAATGCTTGAATTGTCAACCATGTGCCGGTCAGTTGGCTGAGGCTGACACGGGTACTGCATCTGGCTGGGACTGGGACAGTTCGCCTCGTCCGCAGCCCGGGATACTTGGGCCCGGTCCAGCCAATCGAAGCGGCCCGCGAAAGGGCTCGATCCACGCCGCAACGGCAAGTCGGCAACTTTGCAGAGAGACATGCACATGCTAGAAAGAGAGAGACGGGCTGCACTGAACCGTTGTGGCCGCAAGAAGCCACGTCGGCTGTCGCTAATGCACCCCGAAAATCATTTTTCCGTTATTCATTTGAGAAATTATTTACAAGATTGCATCCATTGTGCAAAACGTTGTACCTTCGTAAGTATAGTGGTGAAAGGGCTCTATTATTGTTGCTTAACTGTCATTCCTTTATAAGTATAGTGGTGAAAAGTAAATGCCAATACAATGTATTAAATCACATTCCATGAGAAATCATTATTTATTAAATTAATATGCCAAATCAATTTATTTCTTCTTAAAATAAGGCCCTCGTCTGTCCTAAGGTTGCCTAGAATCTGAATTATAGTATACTAGATAATACCTCGCGCGTTGCTGCGGTAATATTATAGAGTCGCTGGAGATGATGAGGGAGATTTAGTCATTTTAAACAACTGTTAGAATGAGCATCACACCTCTCTTCATGTAGAGCAAAATGCCACAGTCGGAATATCTGTTAGCTTAATTCATGATTTTTTTGAATGAACGAAATTAGTTCATGATTTTAGCTCAGAGATTTTAATGAAAGACAATGATCCACCTTGAATAACGGAGAAGCCTGACAAAACACATATATCAACCAAACAGTGCATATCTCCTGATAAAAAAATGAATATATATTATAAAAAGACAAAGACATCGCATCCTGTTCACTATCCCATATCTTAACATTACTGTCGGTTTAAAAAACTCCTTCACTACTGGATTTTGAACCGGCAGTGCTATACCGGCAGTGATGTGGCATTGACATCACTGCCGGTTCTTGTGAACCGACAGTGATGTGGCTTCTAGGAAAGCTAAAAAATTCATTGAAAAAATAGGAATTTTTTTAATACCGGGAGATGCTCCACTGACAGCCACACGGTCACGTGTCGCAAGTCACAAGTCAAGCGATTTTTTGCCCGAAAAACGCGTGCTTCGCGGCCACCGGCGCTCGAACCCCTGTCGTCGTGCTTCGCACCTTCGGCCCCTAACCACTACATCTGCAAGCTGTTTGTGTCCAAATGAGATTTTCGTCATAGCCATTTTATATTAATCTAATTTTGAAATGAGTATTTGTTAGCCTAAACGAATTCAAATGAAAAAGTTGTCAACTACAAAGTTTTATAACTTTTCGAGATCTACAACTTTCATTTTGGTAGTTTCTCCATTCAAGGTCGTTTATAAAATTTAAATTTCAAATTTTAAAAATTCAAACGTAGTTTTACATGACAAGATGATTTCAAATAAAAAGTTATCAACTACAAAGTTTCATAACTTTTTGAGATCTACAAATTTCGCTTTTGTTGTTTGTCCATCTAAGGTCATTTAAAAAATTTAAATTTCAATTTTTTTGAAATTCAAACTTACTTTTCCTTGAGAAGATGGTTTCAAATCAAAAAGTTGTCAATTACAAAGTTTCATAATTTTTTGAGATTTACAACTTTTATTTTGGTAGTTTCTCCATCCGAGGTTATTTATAAATTTTAAATTTTAGTAATTCAAACGTAATTTTCCTTGACAAGATGATTTCAAATCAAAAAGTTGTCAACTACAGAGTTTCATAACTTTTCGAGATCTACAACTTCTATTTTGGTCATTTGATCATTTATTTATCCGACATAGTGGTAGTAACATTGTTTACAAATGTTACATATCCTTCTTGTTTATGAAACTATAAGAAAGAAATGTAAATTTTGTGAACAATGTTATTACCACTTTTATCAGAAGAAGAAATAATCAAAATAAAAGTTATATATATTGATATGTTCTACAACTTCTATGTTCATGATTTTTTCAGCTGAAATCATTTAGTGTTCTAAAATGACGTTTGAAGTTGCTATTTTTTTTAAATTTAAAATTCAAATAGATCAAACACAGTCACATGAAAAAGATGGATGAAATAATAGCGGTAAGAACACCATAAATTGATAGAGCATGATTTTAGAAAATTTTAGAAAAAAATTTATCAAATTTAAAGTTAGTACGTGAGAGAAAGACTAGTTACAAGTTTTAGCAAGAGATTAAAGAGAGAAATTAGAGTTCTTAAATAATTTCAAATTTTAATTTGAAATAGTATTTTCAAGTAGTAAATGATCTCAAATGAAAAAAATTTCAACTACAAAGTTGCATAACTTTTCAAGATCTACAACTTTTATTTTGGGCGTTTCTCCATCTGAGGCCGTTTGAAAATTTTAAATTTTAAATTTTAGAAATCAAACTTAATTTCCGTTAGATAGATTATTTCAAATAAAAATATTTGGATATTCAAACGATCTCAAATTACAAAAGTTTGAACTACAAAGTTGTAGATCTCGTCGAGTACTACAACTTTGATATAAACTTTGTCTTCATCAGACATTATATGAGAAACTTATGAAGTTTTCTTTAGCATATCACTATCGGTTAAAGCCACGAACTGACAGTGATAGTATCTGTGTCGGTTCTTGGCTAAAACCGGCAGTGATGACCCAATATCACTGCTGGTTCTTGGCTAAATCCGATAGTGATATCAACCGACAGTGAATACCCGAATATCAATATCGGTTGGTCCTATCACTGTCTGTTTTAGTCAAAAACCGGTAGTGATGATCTATCATTGTCTATCACTGTCGTTTTTTAAAATTCGACAGTGATGAGAACGGCAGTGATGTCCAATTCTATAGTAGTGGTTCCCGACAACATTTTTTTTTGGATAACGGTAGTTGAGAAAAAACGAATGGAAAAAGAAAAGAAAAGAGGAATGATTGAACTGGCCCCGTGCCCCTGTCTTATCTACGGCGTACTCAATGTCACCCTCTTCATCACGTACTGACATACTGAATGCCCTTCAGCCAGTTCGTTTGGTCATAAATGATCGTGAATTATAAGTTAAAATAGTATTTTTCTCTTACACCAAACCAGCCAGCAGTAATAATCCACGATTGTTTCAGCCAAAACGAACAGGCTGCTTATGTTTCATTGTGACGCATGCGAGCAGCATGAGAACAGATACGGAAGTGAGGGAGAACCATGGTGCTGGTGTAGAACTGTAGACCACCGCGGCGCATGCTGAGCTTGGAAAAAGCACACGACGCGCCAGCTCACACCGGACGGGCCTATCTCCATACATCGTGATTCTATCTCTGCTTGGAACTTGGAAGTGATGCAAGTGCGCCAGCAGCAGCTACGGCTATTTGAAAGATATTTGTTTGATTTTGGTAATTGAGTGACAATCTATGTGGACTAATATGTGTTTAAGTGAAATTTACAGGTGATTAGTCCACAGAAACACTTATGTGAGCAACACATTCTATGGAGGTGGAAATGGCTTGGATATGTTGCAAGGCTCACACATGTGATGAAGCTCATTGCATATGAGACATGACATGGAGTCATCAATGTTTTCCTAAACGGTAAACGGTCTTTACACGGTCGCCTTACGTTTAGCGTTTAGGCTGTTTACACGGTGTTTAAACGAAGTTAAACGGTCTAAACGGTTTTATACTTAAAAAAACATATAATTATATATGTGTATGTAAAAAATCAAGTATTCTAGCATTTATACATATTTATCCGAGTAAAAATCAATTATTTTGGTATGTATATATATTTATGCATGTGAA